AGACAAGGTACTCTCTTGGAGTTTTTTGATGGGGATATAGAACATTAAATCATCACCTGGAGCTTCATATTTTGAAACTTTTTAGTAATAGATCATACTTCGTCCAAATCAGTCCCCCAGGAATCTTAAAACATATTTTCTCGACAGAAAATATTCAGATAATCCCGAGCAACCTGATTCTCAATAGGACTAGTAAGACCCAAACTGAAATTATGGGATTGCGATCAAAATTTTACCACCTTCTTAAAGCGCTGAAATAGGGTTTTGAGGTGTTTAAAATTTTGGAACCCGGGTCTTATTTCGAAACATTATTTTCAAAAGTTTTGTTCCTCTGGCAGAGAATCGCTTTTTAATTTGTTTTTATATAGCTTTCATGGCAGGATCGCCTGCTCTTCGATATTGCCTCCTACGGACATTTTTAAGACGGATCAAGAGCTGAAGATCGTCGTCTATTATAATTGAATCGAATTTAACCTCGCATTTTGGTACTGAGGCAGCTCTTGCTTCAACTATAGAAGTAGTCAGAGATTCAAGAGCATAATTAATTTCATCTTTGGTTTGCAAAGGAATGTTTGGATCGAAGTTATATTCCATAAATGTTCGATATGGCTCCCAATCAGCTCTATGGTAATTCAAAGTAGCGCTGTTGGGATTACAAATTATTTCTTGGAATCAGGGTTGCTTCCACTCATCTGCTATAAAAAAATATTTTTCGGAATTATGCAATCATTAGATGTTATAATGATATGTTGTACTAGTAAGAAACAAGAATAGGGTGTAAAGTATGTGTTTGACTCATAAAACCTGTCAATTTCGCTTTCAGAACGTCACAATCAGCGATCTTATGATTCGTGAGCGTTCACTCAGAGTGAGCGCTCAAGAGTCGTAAAATCGCTGATTGTGACGCACTGAAAGCAATATTGACAGATTTTATGTGTCAAACATATACTTCATGACCTCTTCTTGTAACTTACAAGTACTAATTAGCATTATACTATTCCATGATTTCATAATTCCGAAAAACATTTTTTTATAGCAAGTGAGTGGAAGTAACCCTGCTTGGAAGGTGATCAGAACCGAAGTCAGCATGGGTAACCAATTGGCTACAAAGTTGACATGAATCAGTTAAGACCAAATCAATAGTTGAGGGATTTCTTGCTGAAGAAAAACATGTTGTGCTGTTTGGATATTGAATAGTGTAATAACCTGCAGAATTTAGACCTATGACAGGTAAGTTTCTGAAGGTCACCCTTGAAAATATTCTTTTGTTGGCTTGGCGCATGGGAATGGCAAATAGGCAGCTTCAAACGTAATAAGTTGTCCAAATTTTGTTTCAACAGAAACTCCCAAAGTTTCAAAAACTTGGGTTTCTAATGAAGAAAGAATTTTATGTTTTATTCGTCTATGCACAATGATGGCAATTCCACCACCAGCTCCATCAAAACGATCATTTCTATAAATGAAATAATTTGCGTTTTGTGAGAGCTGATATTTGTGCTCTTGAAATTTTTATGTGCTACTGATTGATCAGAAATAAGGTTTCCACAGCGATTCAACTTCAAAACACAGCCCAAGAAGTATTTCTCGATTACTTTTTCGAAGAGACGTATCAGCTTTTGTAAACAGCGCATTTGTTCATCGATTTGGCGTAACTAGTAGCTCATCCACGCATACTAACACTTCCATCAGATAGGGGAAATTTTCCCCTACCTATTATAGTGGTGTAAGTATGCGTGTGCGAGCTATCAGTTACGCCAAACCGACGATAAAATGCGTTTTTTAAAAACTGATATGTCATTTCGAAAAAGTAATCGAGATTTGTAGAACTCACTTCCCCGGAGACACTCGGTATGACTACACACTTAGAAAAATTCAAGTAAATTTAGATGCTCTGAGAGTGACATATACGAGCGTCAATTTTGACATAAATTTGAGTAATAACCTAACCTAATAAGACGCGAAATACAGCTCAATCAAACGTACTTTTCGTCGAGCAACGAACTTTTCAGTCTCGGAGCACTTAGTATATGACACGTAATGAGTAAACATGACATGTTGGTTTCCGTTTCATCTTTTATGTCAAAGATGGATTCCGTCACGTGTAAAATTAATTATTTCATAGTGTGTACCATTGAACTTGTTTTTGAATTCTTATGTAATTCCACCGGGTGTATCTGGAAAATAATATAGGTTGAGGCGAATGTGTGCGGGGCATCCAGTATGACACTATTGCTGTTATGTTCGAATTTTCAAGTAATTTGATGTGTCACATGATGGGTTTGGTCGGTTTCAGGTCACATCTAGTCATGAAATCCATACTTTCCGGGATGTGTTCCAGCGATATCTGTGATGAAATAATAATTAGCGTCCTATAAAACCGCGGGTTTTAATTGGCACCTGTTGCTTCTAATTTGGTGCAGTGGTTACCAAGAATCACGTCTCCTATACTTAAACTTTTGTAAAACACACACACACACACACACACACACACACACACACACACACACACACACACACACACACACACACACACACACACACACACACACACACACACACACACACACACACACAGACACACACACACACACACACACACACACACACACACACACACACACACATACACACACACACACACACACACACACAC